ATAGTCAATAGGTTTACGACTAAATTGGTACGATTAAAAGGTTTAAGACTGAGTTGACAACTTTTTAAAAGGTTTAGGACTGAATTGGCCGCCGTATAATAGATTTAAGACTTTTTGGACAATTTTCTCCAATCTTACCAAAAGAGTTATCAATAGTGAAATTCTTCAAAACAAAATATGGTTTTCTTTTTTGCATTAGATGTTATTTCTTACGCAAATCTCAATTACAAGGAGACCAATATCTCCCCCTTTTTCTGCCAAAAAATAAAGAAAATGAGACATGGCTTATCTCCTAAGAAATTTCTTAAAAAAAACGTCATATACTATGTGATTGAGAGACTCGGTGTCCCATAGGAGGACATCGTACAAGAATGTGGAAAAGCATTATGTAAAAGGTCTTGTTTTTACGGTGAATATGCTTCCATGTCGTAACTAATCTCATTTTTAGCGGTAGAGAAATATGTCAAGCACCGTAAAAGGAAGAAGCCTCATATTGTTGTTAGCATACTCAAGTGTGATACAAAACAAAAATCTTCTTTCATGGTACGCGTGGCAAACGTAGTCAAATCCCTAGTTTCGTGATACATTTAAATCAAATAGGATAAAAGCGTAAATGTGATCAAATACTCCTTAATACGTCACTTATGGTAAATAATTCTCAAATATGGTAAAAAGCTCACGTTAAGGTAAGCATGTCACAAGCGCGGTATACAACATAAAAGTCATGGGACAAGGCCCCATTTTGTGGTAAATCACGATGAATATGTTGGGAGTATATGATGAGTGTGTCGAAAAGCGTGCGCTGGTTGTGTCTAATAGTATTAAATCAGGGGCAAAAGGCTATGTGCATCAGTGCATGTGGATGCCTAAAAGTTTCATTTCATGATAAATGTTTCCCTCACTTTCTGTGTGAAATGAGCATGGTATAAAGCTTCATTTTATGCTAGATCCTTCTCTATCCATATTGAGGTAAAATGAATCATTTCGTGGTGAATTTATCCTAAATGTTGGTAAAAATGGGAAATGTATCTCGAAATTTAAAGTGGTAAAAAACATTTCGACATGGTAAATGACTGCAAAACACAAGAAATTATTTCATGGAACAAATCCCACCCAACAATGGATGTGTACTGAATGTGGTAAAAGTGTCTCGAATATGGTAAATAAGTCCCAATTTAAGTGTGATGATCAATGTATTATTGTGGTAAAAAAAATTTATGGACAGTGCCACCCTGTGATCCCTAAACTTTTCCTCATAATTCATAGCCACTCCTAACCCTATTTTTGTTCAATATAGTCCCCGACCTTTAAAACAATTGGCTCAATATGGTCGTTACATTAACTAAAAGGCCATGTCACGTGCTTCTGGCTAACGCGGAGTGCCGGGTTCTTTTTCAATAATCCAAGAGCACAAGCATGAAGACCCAACTAACCGAATGTCAATGGGTGGAGTGCCAGTTATGCAATGACTAAACCACAATGATTTTTTGTCATCCAGTCGGGTACAATGCATGAAACGATTTCGGAACACTGCTTGTGAACATTAATCTCACATTCAACGATGAAGCCGTGACAAAAGTCTATTGACAAAGCAAAGTTTTATTTGCTGTAGCATACTGAAAAGGAAATTTTAAAGAGGCTTGAATTAAGGTTCTCGCAAAGAAACAACCAATCTAAGATTTGAGACTTGATGCGATGTACACTCAAGCAAAAAGAAGACGAGTAAGGCAAAACCAGATCACACTAGCAGAATAAAAAGGCAAGTACTTCGAGACAGATTTTTGATTAGTGTCCGCAGCATATGGCATGCCAAAGGAACAATAATTACTAGTTCACACGATGGAAGACGAGGTCCGATTGTCGTAAATCGAATATAAAGGTGTAATGACATCATATATCTGACCATAAAATAGACAAGCACGGCAAGAATCATAGGGAGTTAACTTTCCACCTTAATCGAATAAAAATACCGATAAGCTTCCTGAAGCACTACACAAACCACACCATCAGAACTCACGGCTACCCCTCGTTTACTCGGCTCTTGATTGACCTGCTCGAGAAGATAGAATGATGCCAACAATAAGGCCGTAGAGGGCCAGCGCTTCAGCAAAGATAAGAATAAGGATCATTCCCACAAACAGCTTCGGTTGTTGTGCATTGGCTCTGCAGAACAGAATGTAGCATGTTAAGAATTGTCATCTAGAGGCTATGAAAGGTGATAGACAAACAAGAGATAATTCTAATAGAGTGGGTTATGAGCCCAAATCAAGAATTATTAGGATACAGAGCAAAATAAATAAAACCATATAAAGAGTGAGCTGGAATCCATCACGTCTTTCTGAACAAAGAGTCAAAACAACTAAATTGCTGCAGCTTAACTTCTTATGACGTGGGCAAAGAAAGCATCGAATCACATCGTAAGTTGTAAACAGTAGAGCTCCGAATACTTAGAGCAAGTAATACTAAACAGGGTGAAACCTGAACCAGCATCCATATTATTAAACTTCTATATCAATAACTTCTCAAACAATTCATACAACTTCAGGTTCGTGTACAACATAATTAGCTCTATACCTATGGCATGAGCAATTTAAAGAAAACAACGACCTCATAAATGTCCATTTGAATTGCCAGTTAAATGAAAACAATGACCTTATAAATGTCTACTCGAAATGCCCCTTAAATGCTAATCTGCCCTAAAAACCCAGAAGTCAAATCGGCACAGACTAGGAGTTCAGTTTAGCCAGAAACACAGATTAAGCTTAGCCTCTCAATTGATCTTTAGGACTAAAAGAAGGCAAGAGTATGGAACAAAGTGGCAGCAGTGCTTCATATGAATGTTTTTAGGTCTTGCTGTCCATCCCTTAGTCTGTAAGAAGAGGCTCGGAACTAGCATACAATGAGATGCAAGTCTAGATAGCCGCTGTCAGGGTAAGTGTCAACTTCGCTGCTCTTGTGCAATTGCGATCCGACCAAGAGCATAATGAGTCAGAATCAAACAATTACTAATATTTCCACATTCTTTCGGGAATCTTTACAATCTTAAAATCCCCAATCCAATCTTAAGATCTTTAAACGCTCCATTCAATCATGGTAGCAACCTAGACAAAGCATCAATCTGGAAGGAAATAGCCAATTAACCATGGCCAATCCACAGTAAATAACCGAAACATAGCAAGCAAAGCCTCAACTACAAACTCAAAAAGCCGAAGCATTTCCACAAACACCATCAACAAGGATTGGACAAGTATTCACTCTCGCAGATTACAAAATCAAACTCGCCGAGTCATCAAACAGAGCACATTATTCACCGGACTGATCGATACAAGCAAATTAACATCTTCAATGCACATCAGAATTGCCAATAACCCAGTAAGGGGAGCACAAAAAAAAAAAGAAAAAAAAGAGAACTTTACCACTAAAAAATCGGAGACACTCCATCCCGTCAATCCCGCAAAAAAACCAACTAACTATCGAATCACCCAGCGCAAGCAAGCGATCGAGAGAAAAAGTTTTTACCTGACGCCAGCGTCCCCGACGATGCCGATCGCCATGCCGGCGGAGAGGCCGGCGAGGCCGCAGGCGAGGCCGGAGGAGAGGTGGGCGTAGCCATCGAAGAGGTAATACGACTTGGCCTTGGGGTTGATCCCGGTGCTGATGATGACGGCGATGATGAGGCCGTAGATGCCGAGGACGCCGGCCATGACCACGGGCACGATCGACTTCATCACCAGCTCGGGCCTCATCACCCCCATCGACGCCACGCCGACGCCGCTCTTGGCGGTCCCGTAGGCGGCTCCCATGCCTGCGAAGGGGAAACGAGAACTCCCGGTCAGATTAAGAGGAAGAGACGGAGGAGTGAGGTGCAGATCCGGGGGGAGGGGGAGGGGGATCGGCGGGTGGGGGGATTACAGGAGAAGACGAGGGCGGCGGCGGCGCCGAGGAATCCGAAGAAGGGGGCGGTCTCATCGCCACTGAAGGTCGAAGACATCTTCGCTCGTTCTCGATGGATGGATGGACCGATGGATCGACTACTGGAATTGAAGGAGGAGGAGGAGGAGGAGGAGGAGGAGAAGATTCGGTGGCGGAGGGAAGGGAGATCTGAGAGAGGGCTTTCGCGACTGGTCTCTTTCTGTTTTGTTTATTGGAGAGTTCTCTGGCGTCTTTCTGCGGGAACCTCCTCCGTCGGCTGCCGCTGCACCGTGTCTCTGAGATTTATCTCCGCCTCCTCGGGGCCGCTGAAAGCGACGGGGGAGGTGCGAAATCACGTCCCTGCCCTCCCGGGGGGGGGTTGGGTGGGGACGCTTCTTCGCAACAAGGTCATCACCGGCATTTCGCATCCACACATAATGTCGCCTCTCTAATAGTCTCTATATATATAAATTAATCAGACGCGAATAATCTATTTTGTGCTTCTGAAAACAGTCGAAAAGTTCTTGTATTAGTGGACCGTACAAATTATCGATGATGAACGTTGTTCGATCGATAGAGCTCTCGCGGATAGATCCTTTTGCGCGACTCGAATCGGAAGCAAAAAACCCAGTTCTGGTTTAATCGTGTTCAAGCAGTGCTTCAAAAATTAGACCGGTTCGATCGTGCCAAATTACAGATTCGACTCGACTTACGAGCATTTGAAAAAGTTACCCAATCAATTATAAACATATCGTACGGATACCAATTCAGTATTGAATTTTTTTAACTTTGCTAACTTAGTCCAAAATTTTTGCACGAAATTCCAATATAATCCTTTGACATGCGTGTCATGAGCTAAAATTCGCAGAACAGCCAATTCTCCCTTCGATAATCATCCATCGTAACAAAAAAGAAAAGCGTGTTTGGGGAAACAAAGGGCCAATAGCTCAAAGCAAAAACCGAATGCGAAATTCCTTTCGCTTCAAACTAGGAACGACCCACTGTACAAGCGAACAGGGCAATGCGAGGGATAAGGAAAATTAGTAAGAACATCATTGGCATCCGCCCGAACATTCGAGACAATCACATCAATGAAAACGGTCGCTAGAACTAACGGTTGCCGAAAGAAAGAAATTCATGTAAATCCACATGGAAAGGAGGTAGCCACAGTCAGTAAACACCCCTGAATCAAAGAACATAAGTTACATAACCACTATACATCTGTTGGCGAACGTAAGTTTTGCAACCTCGAGCAAATAGAGCCTTGACTCAACAGGTCAAGGAGCTTCTGTACGTACTCTCTGAGCGCAAAAAAACTAGGCCGATTTCCGAGAGTGTGGGCACGGAAGTCGCAGCCAGAAGTTTAAGGAGCTGGGCTAGTTCTTCTGGTTTTGCACATAATAACCTGAGAGTTTACACAAAGCTGATTCCTAGTTTTCACTGGAAAAAAGAATTTGCACTAGCAAGCAATTTAGCAGCTGGTCGTTCAACTTACAAATGAAAGCCCGAGGTCTCCTTTGACTGGCTAGATTATATATATGCTGCGGCACAATAGAGAATCCCTCCCTGGTACGAGGTAATCAAAGAGAGGTTAGAAACAGACATAACTAACATTTGAAACAGCCCAATTCTTGGGACAACGATCGTCCATAGATGATCTCTCCTCTCACCTGATTGCAGCGACCAATGGAGATCGGACAAGTCGCATAAATCAGAGTCCCTTGATGAGATGCTGCCCAATGTGCCAACCCTGCACCGTAACATAGTGCCCTCCGCAAAGAGGAAATATATGCACCAATCCCGCAGAAAAGACACTCGCCTTGTCTGGTCTTATCTTTTTCGCTTGGACGAGTAATTCATACCAAAGCATTCTCGACTGATCGCGGCACATAAAAACTGCAGGAAATATTAATTGTTCAGATACGTGAATGACCCACACAAGCAAGATATTGTAGCACTGATAAAAGGACAAATTTTAACATGATAGAAGAGCATAGCAGTTCGCGAATAGTGTGGCTGAGCAGGATAATTCGTCAATATATACAGTGACACTCAGAAAACGAACACAGAGATACGTAGAATTATCTGGGTGAACATTGAAGAAGCTCAAAATCATACCTTGCAGGGATAGAAGCAATGCAGGCTCATCCATAAAACCTGGCAAAACGTATGGAATGGCAATGAGTACCGTGGACCAAAAATATATTCACAAAAAGGATGGCTTCATGATGTGAATCCATGGTTTCTTTCCAATTAGATACCAATGCTTGGACGCTTTTCAAAGCCTATATTGCGTATCGCAACATTAAAACTCATTTCAAGTAACATCTGTGCTGTTTGGCAGCTAACCACTACAATGATGCAGATAAAACAGGTTTACCTGCAGACAATCTCGAGGAGACAATAGTAAAATAAAAACTCCAGCTAACGATGCTCATCCCAAATTTAAAAAACGTGAATATCCAATCTTTCCAGATGCTTCTGTCAATGGTACCCTGATCTGTTCTGATAGATCGAAAGAGCTGAAGATAGACCTGCAATGTCAAGAGCCGGCCCAATGCTTCATCGGGAACCATTGAAACTCCAGATATAAAAACTGTGGTCCATGTTCTTTTCTTCAATTTTGGAAACAAGGAAGTCAAGAAAAATCAAAAGAAAGAAAAAGACGTCCAATGGAACACAGCAGTGTGTAAACACTTCAACATGTTGAAATGGTAAATGGTTCAACTTGCAGATGAAAACATTCAGCGCTTTGCGCACAGAATGCGATTCTTCTATAGGGTCAATTGCTGATAATATCCTACAATGTACAAATGTTATCAAATAAAACAAAAACATCTAACAAATAGTCTCTAATCTAGGTGTATCCCTTGCAAAAAAATGGGTTCCTCATATCCACCTTAGAAGTACAAGCTGGGTAAAGCTAAACCTATCACATCAAGAATTTTCCCAGCAAATCAAAGTCAGTCTAAAATGTCGCATCACAACGGTTTGATGATTGAGGACATTTGCAAGAAGCCACCAATTTCATCAAAGCACCACATGTCCGAGCCAAGATAAGTTGAACAACATTCACCACTCCATGGCAGATCCTCCACGACCTTGAGAATATAGAGCATGCAATCCTTTCAATGCCTCTATCATTGACCACCATCATCAAAGGAAGTCAACCAGTTTGGGTCATTATTCCAGGGAGACAGAGGCATAAAAAATAAAGGACCAGAAAGTCCTACAGCCTATCATGGTCTCACAACTGGTTTAGCCGCCATATGCCTCTCGATCAATTTGTCCACAAAAGCACGGATCTGCATGTTGAATGCATCAAAGGAAAGTTTAGCATCAGCAGAGACTACCACCGAAGCTCAATCTTAAAATAATCAGACATCTCTACATAGTACGATGCAGTGTTTTGTAATGAACTGAAACATGTGTCTGCGTGTAATTTTCCACATAGATACGAATAAAGGACCCTGGAAAGGATTGCAGAGATGCTGGCAACAGCCAATCATACATCAAAAGTAAACTTTTTTGGCATGAAAGTAACACGAAAATAGTCCATACCTTATTCCGACGCTTAAAATCAAGAAACTCTGCAACTGACATTGCTTTCTCTGCATCTGTAGCTTGCTCCATGACCTGTCAACAGAATATAATCGATACATTCCAAATAAAGATAGTTGCTACACACAAAAAAATTCATGAAGATGCTGAGGGAGAGAATGCAAAAGACCTTTGTCGCGGTTTTCTTCATTATAGACTTGTATCCCTCCCTATCAATTTTTCTGGCTTTATAAAGGGGCATGAGCAAAGTCGCAACATAATCTACCACTGCCTGTTTAATTCGATCTGCTCCTCGATGCTGATTCTCATTTGAATCTTTGTTTACAGTAATCTGGGATAGAGAGCTCTCATTAGCAAGCCCATCACGCTTATGGGCCGGTGGCCTAGGGAGAGAATTTGAGTCCTCCTCATCCTTTACATGCATATTTGGTAGGAAGGCATCAGACTCCGCTGCAGCTGCTTGAGATTGCCATCTTTCAATGGCGTGATAATCTTTACCCTCCACACTTCCAGATGCATTTACCCACGCTTGTGTATATATGCTACTATCTACTGCCACACTTTCTCCAGAGTTCTCTCTGAAGTTCAAATTGTTCGCAATATCATTTGAATGGCTCCGCTGCGATAAGTTTTCTACTGACATTCTTGAACTTTCAAGGTTAATAAAAGGAGGGAAATCAACAGACCAATCCCTAACTCTGCAATTCCTAGAGTCTATTTCAGATATGCAATCTTGTCTACCTAAAACACCACCAGGCCACTTCTTCTGAAGTTCAGATTCATCCATCTGAGCATACTGCTCCCTTCGAGCAAATCTGTTAAATGAGGGTATCTTGGGAAGCTGCAACATTGTCCCCCACTTCGCTCCTGAAGATGCATATGCCTGCAGCACCCAATAGACTGGTTATCCAATTTCTTCCAACTAGTGACAGTGATGGTGACACAAGGGAGTGGGACTGTGGCAGCACACAATTGATCGACAAGTATGAAATCCTAGAAACAATGTAATCCAACACCAAACAGCCAGATAATATGACAAACCAAGTTTGGTCGTATCAAATTATCTAGCAAAGAAGAAAAATGAACATGAGTGTACAGTTTAGTGCTTTTCATGATATTGATGGAACGCAACCAACAGGGAAAGTGGTGAAATAACAAAGTTCTGTAAGTGAGCTAACACATAAATGGAAATTGCTTGAGTTGCCAGTATATGAGGTCCGGCAGCTAGTTCAAGTAAAGGCAGAGGAAGGACAAGGTCGCAGAAACTTGTAGCATTCAGAATACACTGATACGCAGCTTCAATAGGCCAACTACCACGGTTCTTTGATATCTATTGAGATCGCTCCGGGGGTACCCCAGTATCTCCTCAACAAACAATTTTGACAAAACAGACAACCTTCCAATAAAGAAAACAGCCAGGCCCGTTAAAATAAATAAAAAGTTATATGGAAGAGCTTCTGTGAGATGCCTGACCCTTATCATCTATTGTGAGTAAAGATCCAAGAAAAACATACCTCGGCAGCTGCCAGTGCCGCAGCACGGGCTGCTTCAGCAACAGCTAAGGCAGCCTTTTCCTCCTCAGACATGACCATCTTTTCATTCCCGACCATAATTCTATCCCGTCTCTCCACTGACCGTCGCGACCTTGACGAATTGCTCTCCGATCTTGAGTCATTAGTGATATCTAACTTGGCTGGTTTGCTCTTCACTTTTTTAGTGTTTGTAATAGAAGGCAAAACGTGCGTGTTTCCTTTAGCATCATAACCACCAAGTTGCGTCCGCACAGGTAGCCTCCCAGCAGATTTACTCTTCAAAGAAGCTTTTTCCTTGCGAAAGACTTCAAGCCATACATTAACCAGTTGACTCGCTATAGCTCGTATATCACGGCTTGTATGCACACAGACTTTCTCCTTCACAGTTTTTCCAATACCTACAACACAACAAGATCAACCGAAACACATTAAAACATCCATAGAGAGAGAGAGAGAGAGAGAGAGAGAGAGACGAGTGACAAGAGTCCTGTGAACCTATAACTGGATATTCTAAAGAAAACTATATATGCATTAGGTGCAGAATTTTCATTAGACATTGCCAGTAGGAAGAAACACCACCTAGAAGCATATGACTGCAAATCTAAAGGCGTTGCAATGCAAGACTAAAATGATAGCCCAAACAGTGAGGATCTCCGGGACGCACAAGGCAGCCTTGCCGAATTTCACATATAGCCACAGAAGATCTGAGTTACTTAAATAGATAGGAAGTCAATATAGCTAGTCTCGCCAATTATGAGACTCCCCTTGGGGGCACATCCCCAAATTTTGCACTGAACTTAGAATTGATGGTTGATGGCAAACGCAATGAGAAATCTGTGTAAGGTTCTAGCATTTTGACAGATATAAAGTCCATTTGTGTTGGAACAAAAGAATGTAGACAAAACTGTCCTTTTCTACAAGCAAAAAAATCCAAAGGCTCCATGCTTCAGACACATATATCCAATCAACATTCCAGTGTAAAACCTTTTGTGTGTAAGTTAACCTATATGTGTAGCATTTCTCCTACCTTCCAAAAAAGACCAACAGACTGAAGAAGTTGTATTGTAGCTAATTTAAGTTTTCTTGAGCTTGCTATGAATATCTTGAAACACAAAAGGGAACTCCATACCTGACAGACGCACTGCAAGAAGATCAGTGGAGACAAGAACCAGAAGGCGAACACAGTGACGCAGGAGTTGGGTCCCATCCTTTCCCATTGAATCCTACCACAGAATGCACGTAAATCATCATCAACAATTCATATCTACACATAATTTCAAGTTGTTCAAAAGAAATTTTGACCATAACGATACCAGTATCCATGAGTTAAGCGTGCTAAGCCCTTCTTTGGTGCCAGCAAACGACTTCAAGGTTTCAACAGGAAGGCGTAGTAGTGCCTTTGCCACATGCAGTCTTCCAGCAGTGGCTTTAGTGTTGAAAAACAACTCCCGCAGCAAAGCTTCCCTGGAAAGGATATAGTCGCCTTCCAAGGAGTTCTTGTAACGGTAATTCGAAATTTCAACTGCCTCAAGCCTCTTGATTATGTCCCTGACTTCATCTCTTTCATTGTCAGATTGCCTTTGTGCAGCTTCCATTGCCTCCGCTTCTGCTCTGTTATCATTTCCAGTACTCAATATGTCCATGATTCGCACAGCCTCCCTAAGTCCACTCATCATTGCACCACCAACAGTGTCAGGATGCTCCTTACAGGTGGCTTCACCAGCAAAAAATAAGCAGTTATCCACAGGTTTACCCAGAATGTCATAATCTTCTCCAGATGCTCCGATCGCAACATAGGAGTAAGCACCATAACTAAAAGGATCCCTACCCCAGTCAGTGACAACAGATGCAACTGGCTCAGGAACCGATGCCTCTCCAAACAGTTTACGTAGAACCATAACAGCGTGACCTACATGGTCGGGTGAGGTCATACATTGACCATCACGTGCAGCCTTCCCAACCAATAGGGCTATAAGAACAGGAGCTCCAACAGTTTTCTTGACATTCCAGAACATGAAGCACTGCCCTCTGCAATCGGTTTCCTCCGCAGTTGCCCCAAAATAATCCACGGTATCATCCCAAAATACTTCCGTGAATTCTAAAACAATTTTATTGAGGACTCCAAAACCAAGATGCTTAATGGCAGACTGTTTCCATTGAGGTAATGGAGGGAGAAACTTAATGGTCTCAGCTTTTAAGCACCCAAGGGGTACTGTCACCAGAACAGCATCCCCTAAAAACTCATGGCCATTTGAAGTGGAAACCTTAACTCTGTAAGCGTCTCCATCGATTGACCCACTCTCGTTGGTACCATAGGAAATGTCCGTTACTATGTGATTTAGATGTATATTGAGGTCTTTCGCAAGAGACTCAATGACAGTACTATAACCCCCTTTTATCATACAGTGAGCTCCCCCAAATCCTCCATATATGTCATCTTGATTCCAATGCGGAAGGGATACCTCCTTCAGCAATGCAGCGCAACCATATTCCAAA